GCCACCATGCGTTCTTCCGCCTTCAATTGCGTAACGACTCTGTGCATCGTTTCCACCACCCAGCAAATTACGTCGAGCGCGCGATGTGAATTCACGATCAAATGCCTCCGCTTCCTCTATAAAATATTTAAAACTTTTGTGTAAAACAACATATAACAGAAAGGTTAGCATATTTGTGAGTGGCATCTGTAAAAAAGAAAACCAAAAACCTCAAAGAGACAATTTACATACATTGTACAGGCTGCGGGTAGTACTGAAAATTATGCAGCCCAGCATCGAAGGATCTATTGCGGAAAAACCCACAGAAAGCCGGCCAAGAAGCAGCCGGAAAGAAAAAGGGAAAGAAAGGTGTACTTTGAAGGCAGATACACAGTTGATGCTCTGCCAAGCCGAAGAACCTAGAGCACAAGGACCGGTGGTGTAGTGGTAACTTATTGCGTCCGGACGCTAATAGAAGTGGTTCGATTCCCTCCAGAATCAGAGTAATTTCAGAGAAAGTGCTTCGTTCACGACAGGACCTGGCATAGTTGCACCCAACTTGTGAGAGCATTCCAGTAACATCATTAACATGGGATACCCGCACCGACTATCTGAGAGATTCTGATATTGGTAGTTATAAAAAACCATTTTACATATGCAAAGGATGGATTGATTTCACTGCACATCTGGTATTTTGCTGCATCCCATTAACATCATTAACAAGAGATACCCATACTAACTGTCCGAACAGTTTCTCTGTATTCATGGCTTTTTTTTTTTAATTTCAGCTCGATGAAAACAAAAAACACTGCTTTTTTCTCGCTCCTCATACTTCAACACAGTTACTAAATGCGGCAAGGGTATATTAGTAGCGTTACTTTTACTTGACCAATACCAACCTTGTGAAAGATTAACAAAACTTTGTCGTTCCCGAATACGCCCATCACGATCGCGTTTCTTCTCGATTACATGTGTCCGATCACCTATTGTATGACCAATGGTGAGTTTATCACCGACGCCTGCTTCGCCCGTTCGGATTGCATGGCTGAAAAATTTCTCTTCTTTTCAGCAAATAAAGCATTTAACAATCTCAGCAGAAAAACCTGTCAATCTACGAATCGTTGGTTTATTTTGGCGATAAACTGAGAGAGGTACATTGTTACGGGATGATAAGTAATGGCCCATTAGAAGGCCAAGTGGGGCCGCTGAAGCAGGCTAAACTGATGAAAAATGTTTCTGTGACCTTTGGTGGGCAAGACAATAATTTCTGAAGTAACGGCCAGTCTAAACCGTGGAAAACACGAAGCAGCCGAAATCCTTAAACTTCAATTTGCGGTGGAAATTGTATAGCGGATTATGATGGGAAAGATCGCAGGTCTGTTAGTGCGATACAAACCGTATGACACGTTGGAGAGTCATGTAAAGAGGAATATGTAAAAGCTGGTCTGCCTGTGTTTCATCCGTTAGCAATAAACAGACAGTATAAGATGCGGTTAGAGGTGAGAAAGTCAACTCCGTCATTAGCGCGCTTGTCAGCGATTCCTCGAAAAACAGAACCACCAACAATCTTACAAGCGGATGGTTGCATGTGTGCTAAAATCAAATACAAAAAGTGGACATGAAACTTCAGGGTTAGAATTTTTTACTCACTTCTTCGGCATCTCCTCCCACCTCTCCCTTCCCCCTTCCCATCAGTTCCCAGCTTCTTCCCTTTTCTTCCTCCTTTTCCTGCTTATTCGGCTTTCTTTACTCTCTTCCCTCCTTCCTCCTCTTCTTTCTTCTTCCTGACGCACTGCGACCGCCATACTGACGAGGTCCAGTCAAAGTAAGGAGTTAAGACGTATATGACTTAATGGACCGAAACGTCTGATCTCACTCTCACTACCAACATTCATTACTTTCTCTTGCATTTGCGCATCCCACCGTCTGCACTTCCAGGATTGACCTGGAAGCTGCAATCTACTTAGAAAATAGTACCCTGTAAATTAGTGAAGACTTCCCAATACCCGTCCCCAGTTAAAACTTTCTTTATGCGACAGGAGCTAATCGTATTTATAACAAGAAAAACAAAACATGCCGTGTCTCTTTGACATCGCCGGCCTTTCGAACTGATTTCTCGACCACACGTGGCTGACCACCGTTACGCCCATCGTAACTAATCATCGTTGAATGCGAAAACACATGTGAATTCGGATCATTCATTGCATGAGTCTGCATGTCCTCCTGAAAAGCACAGTCATAAATGCAAAATTTTGAAGTTCTCAGTCGCTAAAATCGTATGATGGCTGCCCCTACTCCTCAATATGGTCTAAAAGCGGTAAAATTTCCTAGGCAAAGTGGTAAAGCTTGAAATCTGCCATTTCGAAGGAGCCAAAGCCTTGCCAAAAGCTTTTTTCCCGAGAACAACCAAACAACTGAACAATTTAGTTAAGGAAACGAACATCAAAAACACCAGATTTGCGACCACTCGGTGATCTGCCATTTGTCAAAGTAGCTGGAAAAGCTGTCAGCTCACTACGAATTAAAGCTAATTCAAATATTTTGAGTACAATTCGTTTTTAGCAAAAAACCCCCGTCAAAACTGACGTACAC